GATACTTAGTTGACTCATCTCAAGGCAAATTGACAGGAACAAAATTTGAAAACAAGTTGAATCGGGTTCGGGTCAAAAAGGCCTTAAACCCAACAAAATCCCTAAACCCCTAAAATTCCCTCCAAAACTCCCCGATAAGCATAACTAAAATTCGAGAATGGACCACATAGCTGCAGCAGACGAGCGAATTGTGAACGAAAGATTGAGGCAGAAACTTAACGAAGTCAACAGTGCCGCCCAATCTGAGCTCTCCGGTGTTCAGGACCATGTCAATTTTACTCTCCAGGTCTTTTTCTTTCTAAGAACATATGTTGATTTTTCAATTTGAAACTGATTAATTTCTTTCTTACTTTCTTTTCCTAACATTTTATGTGGGATTTCAGCAAGCATATTTTAAGTGCGCCTATGAGTGTTTCGACAGGAGGAGAAAGCAGGATGAGATTAGTAATTGTGTGGAGCACTGCAACGTACCTGTGCTCACTGCCCAGAATCTTGTCCAAAATGAGATGGCTAAATTTCAGGTAATATTCACTCTTCCTGGATCCTTTTCTCGAAATTTAATGGGCGATTTGAGAATCTATGGCGTTTTACAATCGGAATACTTGTTGTTATTAGGCAGAATATTGGTTATTTTTAATGCTTTTGGTGTTGAATTGTATTTGGTTGTATTCATAAACCTTTCTCTTTGTTGGTTAATATTCATGATTCTTTATTATTATATATTAATGTACAGTAAGCTTATTTGTTATAGGAATCTGATGAATTGAGTTTGTTTTTGCGTGTCCATGACCACTTGCATGTGTATGAATGCATGATTGTATATGTATTGTATACAATTTTGTGGAAAATGATTCAAGATTTTCATGTAATTTAAGATGATATATTTTCTCAAATTTGTGTTCATACAACTGCAAATTGTTAAGGCATAGTGGTACCTCTACAACAGTTAATATATCTATGTTTGTCATGGATGATGTATTCTTCCTTGTAAAAATTTAATGTGTGCACCCTTTAGTGTAGTTTTGATTTTTGTTGTTTATTCATTTTTCTTTTACGCCTTTCTACATAGATCTTGAACTCAAGTTGTTTAATTGGGAAAAGGGACCAAGGAGGATAGTTCTCGAATGCTTAGCATGTAATTCAAGCTATCACATTCCTTATGACCTGTCTGATTTTTTTTCCCTGTTTCTACACGTTCATCATTTTTTTCTTATTACCTGACCACGTCTACTTTTACACTTCTACCAACAATCCAAGATGTACGAAAAAGAAAGTGAAGAAAATCCCACCAAACGCTTGAAGAAAATTAAAAAGAGGAAAATCAATCAGAAAGAGAAAAACACAATGGTTTGACAAACCGCCTACTACCACAAGATACGAATACTTAATTAGCTAAGAAAACTTCACAATACAATGTTTTCCTCACTTTCTCAACTTATCCCTAAAAAGGAAAAAAATAAAAAATAAAAATAAATAAATAAATAAATATAGAGAGTGAGAGAGAACACACATTCTCAGTTAGATAAGTAAACAAATGATATAATTGAAGATTTAGTTATTGATAGTTTGTGGAGCTGAGTTTGACTCTTTTATCTATCTCCTTAATACTATGGTTAGAAGCTCAACCCTCACGGAGATAGGAAGCCTCATTATAAATTTATGTACATAAGTACTACAGTCTACGGTTAGGATCAAAGGGTGACAAATTGTTTCTCTTAGAAGGCAGATTTTACATTATATTATATGAAAGCAGCTATGGACTGCAAAGATGAAATAAGAAAAATGTGTTTTAATTTGGTAGAGCCTTTTCCAAACCCTTGCAGATATCTTTCTATTACATGAAATTAATGCTAATTTCTACCTTTTGTGATGGCCCTGTCATATTTGGTGGTGGAGAAAGAAGAGAGTATAAAGTATAAACTCACATTGTGTATTAAGGCAAGAATTGCATTATGTTTTATCTTTAAGTGAAGAGGTCAATAGAGAATTTTTTGGTGAATTTCTCTTTAGTAGGATGGACAATGAGACCCTTATTCTTTTCCCTTCGTTGAGTATATTGATGTCATATGTTATTGAAAATCTCAGTTTGTGTAATGGAAAACTGAACAATATCAACTCCTGGATTCAGGATTTCTGGTATGCTTGCTCAGCAACCGTGGTTTGGGATAGTCCTTGTTTGTGGGATTTAGGCTGGGAAAGGTTATGTAAACATTTTGAGGGATTCGACGAAATAGACTTTGAAATTTAGACATACGATAAGACGCTGGGGACATTTCTTGTTCATTATTTATGTAATGTTTGGTTGTACAAAGAGTTCGGAAGCTTCAAAGTCGGGAAAAGACAAAGTTGTTTATTTTGCCATACTGAAACTAAAGAAAGCAGGTGCTACCCCACCACGTATATAGTGTAGGAGCCACCCATAGAATACCAAGTGCCATGTTTTCCAGTTTGCTTGTCTGGTCATGACAAGGATGTAAGGATTTAATAGGGTATGTGAGACCCTTTATCGCATATCATATGGATAATGAAGGTATAATACGTGAATATTGGATGCTAAAGGATGTGTAAACAGTAATTGCTCTAGCCTATTGAGAACTTAATGCCCAGGTTCTTGGATGGCTCTTAAGGTGCACAACATATCATGAGCTCATAGGTCCAAGATAATGTAGCCGTGTATTACTACTAGAATTAATCTAGTTCTACAAGCTTTGTTTACAAACCAAGTGTTGGC